TGCTCAGTGACAGGCAGTAAATGTCAGCACGTGGGTCTAGTAAAGGCAGCCAAGCGAAGCAGTGAGTCATGGATGCATCCTGTTGTGCTGTGATGTTCAAACTCTGTGAGGATAGAGATCATTACTGTCTAACTTGCTGACGGGTATATTGTGTCTAAGTAAACCCACACAAAACATCAATGATGCTTTTACCTGCACACAAATTAATAAAACTTTGCACTATGTTCTGTTTCAGAGAGAAATTATTAATAATATCTACTCAGAGGTCATTCAGAGTGTTGAACAGAAAGGTCGACATGTGGACACACTGTGGATCAAAACAGCATATTAATGGAGGATTGTTTAGTGACTATGAGTGAGGGACAGCAGCTCACTGCTCTCTGCACTGGTGTGAGAACACAGAGTCCAGGTGAGTAACAGTACAGGTAGCTTATTTTACACCACTAATTTCTTACAGTAGAGAAGGTACAACATCTGCCTTTGTGGTTCACTGTGTAGCAAAATCACACACACACACACACACACACACACAATGTAGGGAAAGAGAAATTTAGAACCACTTTCACATAAGAAACTCTTCATTGTTTATTAGTTGTTTACTGTTACAATACAATACTTTATTAAAGGTCAATTCTGTTGTACCAAGATATGAAAAACTAGCTGAATCAATTAATGATAAATCAAGACAGTGTATACCTAGTGCTGGTCCCAATAAACTCTCTGCCAAATTAGATTTTTGCACCACCTATCACAAATTATTCAATCAAGGTTTTCTGTAAATATACTCCCTGCTTCCTTTATCCATTCAATTTCTTTTTAACTCTTTGTCATCGGTTTTACCATTTATTGTGTTTTCTGTGATCATTTTCTTTAACTTTCATCCGGTTATTAGTACATTTTGTTTTAGTGTATTTTTGGTTTTTACTTTTTTGTACTGCGATTTTGCCTGCCCTTTATTTGCATTGCTTCACATCTGTCTACCTAATAGTAAATAATTTGATTTATTATTACTAATATAAAACTGATGTGTCACAAAAAGATGAGACCTCTTTCTAACTTCAGCTCATCTGTTAAGTCATAGGTAGCCAGGTGGTTGCAAATATTAATAGATATAAATGTTTCTATTTGCTTAGAAATGAGTGTCTGATCATATCAGAATAATGTAATCAGGTTTGCGTTGAAAACAGGAAGATAATACATTTTATGATTATTATTTGGACTTATCTCTTTCACTTACACATCTTAATGGTTTCAAAGTAATAAATGTTCTGTCTCTCAGCAACAGATTCAGGGAACCTGAGTGGCAGAGTTGCTGCAGGCCCACACAGAGAGAACTGCGAACAGATCAGCAAAATCTCATTTATTTAGTCTCCCTCAGGAGAGTGGGCAGATCAGAGGAATGGAGAAAGAGAAGCATGTCTGTATCAAATGCTTTACAGCCCCACACCAGCAGGTTTCATTTGTGTCCTTTTCACTAAAAAGGTTTTTGTGCTTTCATGCTCAAATGATTTATTCCCATTACAGCACCACAGAAACACTTCGGAGGGGAAAAAACATCCAAAGTCAAGTAAAGTTAACATATGTTGGAATACAGAGGATACTAATAATTCACTAGTAGATTTAAATTATTTACCAGTTACATTTAGTATGCATATATTAAGTTATATCAAAAGCTTAAAAAGGCTCTAAAACCATGCTTACCTGAAAATAAATATACTTAAAAATGCTGCGGCATGATTTTTAACTGGCAGAAGAAAATTTGATCACATCACTCTGATTTTGGCCTCTTTACACTGGCTTCCAATTGAATTCAGGATCCGTTTTAAAGTCCTTTAATTGGTTTTTAAATATCTAAATGGTCTGGCACCTGTTTATTTGTCTGACTTGTTGAAGCCCCACATCCCCACTCGTTCCCTTAGGTCAGCTGAGCAGTTGCTGCTTTCGGTCCCAAAGTCACGGCTGAAACTTAGAGGAGACTGAGTGTTCTCTGTTGCCACGCCGATGCTTTGGAATAACCTTCCTCTCCATATTAGACAGGCTACATCAGTGTCAGTTTTTAAGTCTTTATTAAAAACCTATTTTTATTCCCTGGCTTTTAACTCTGTGGGTAACTGATATTTTTTATTGTTTTTTGGGTTTTTTTAATTGCTATGTCTGGTTTTATTACTATATGCATATTAGTATTGTACAGTACTTTTGTCTACCAGGTGTGTTTTTAAAGTGCTATATAAATAAATAAATGATGATGATGATGATAATAAATCAAGCAAATTAAGGTTTTACATGGGACCACGTATATGTAATATAATCTGAGATTTCAAACATATCTACAGCATTTTCCCACTTCATGGATCAGATGCAGAATACAAAGCCTGACCTGATATGATGAGTATAACTGGGTGCAAGAATGTGTTTTCCAGCCAACTGGCCTTAAAGTTTCAGATGTCATGATATTGCAAGTCACAAACACTTGAGACATAACTCTGTGCTGTCGTGTGATAGCGGTCACATTCAGTTGGTGATCTGATATGACATAAGATCACCCCAGGAGCTAGATTGCATCACCATTAGACTGCACATCCTATGGATATTTATAACTCGTTGGGTGGACGTCACAATGCTGGCAACAAGAAACAGTGACTGGAAGATTTTGTCATGAAGTTTACATTTATCACATTTCTGTCAACACCACATAATTTGAATGCAACCAGGTTTAGTCCAGGGGGCAGGTTTCAATCTACTAACTACCATTTAGTGACTGTCTCTATGGAGTTTTAGTTGGAAAAATGACACACAATTATTATTATTATTATTGTTATTATTATTTTACATTTCTTTTATTGAGCGCAGAACCTTGAGCTGTGAAGTGAAAAATAAATGTTTCCATTTTCCCATAAAGTCATAATAATGGCTGAGGACAGTCAGTTATTCACCATTTTTCACTCTGGAGCTGCTCCAGTATTTATTTCAGGGATGTCATACAGCTGTTCAGCGTCACAGTAAATGTATCAACCTATTTTCTTCCACTTATTTAATTCAGGGCTGTGAGGCTGTAAATTGTACATTTCAATGTGATTAATGCAATTACCAGTTTCAAAAGACCTCTTTAAGCGACATCTCTCAGCAGCTACTGAATGGATTATCGTGAAATGTTGAGCAAGCATTCGTGTTTCTCAGGTAATTAAGCTACAGTATCTGGACTAGCATCAACACACAGCCACAAAGACATGTGACATCATCTGTGAAGAAACAAATTAGCCAGAGAATCTACAATACTATCTGAACTGTGATATCATCTCTTCAGGTCATGCATTTGCCTTTGTTGATGACACCTAGCAATAACAGCAACAGGCTTTGTCCGTTAATTGCCTAGCAACAGCTCTAACTGACCTCAAACTCAACAGTGCACCTATCTGGATCCCCAGCAAGCAGACTAGCCAAGTTTGAAGTGGATCAGATGACTAGTTGTTCAAAAAGAAATAGAAAACATCAGCTCCACTTCATGGACAGAACTAATGGATCGATCAAGCAAAATACAAAATACAAAATAACTTCAAGTTTTAAATTTTCTTCTTTTGGCTGCTCCCTTTAGGGGTCTCCAGAGCTGATCATCTGCCTCCATCTCATCCTTCTCTGTCACACCATGTCCTCTGTTACTCCATTCATGAATCATCTCTGTGGTCTTAATCTTATCCTCCTGCCTGATTGTAAAATATCAACAATTCATCTTCTGCACATGCCATCCTTCTGTCACAAACCGCCCCTGACACTCCATCCTCTCCATCCTGCTCTTTCTTATTCACCTCTCTTGTGCACTGTCCATTGCTTTGGCTGGTTGACCCCAGGTATTTAAATGCAGCCACCTTCACTACTTCTACTCCTTGCAACATCATAGTTTTACAGACACCCCCTCAGTCACACACGTCTCCTGACTGGAAACAGTGACTGAGAAACTAAAATCATGAGGAAAGTGTATGCTGAGATCAAAAAGGGCAGAAACCGAGGGCCAGTAGAAAAACTTTTTCAGCTACAACAGTCACCCCCTGGTGGCCATTGATAAAAATCAAGTAGAAGAATTGTCACGTGGCATTGTGAGCATTTTCATTCCAACAATAAAAGGATCTTCACTAAAACGTAAACATTACAACTCAAAGCCAACATGAAACAACAAGCCTTGTACTGTGACAGTAGGAAAATCCTCACGGACATTGATAATGAGCTAGCATGCACAACGAAACACCTGACATTGTCACAGCTGAATGAAAGTTAGTCACTGTTAATTTTATTATTTAGACCAGTGCGTTTGTAATATGTTTCTGTATGATCATACCATCAAGAAACAGTTTTATTGATCAATAAGAATCTATTGTACTTTGGAAAAAAAATCCTTTATTGTTTTTTTTTTAATCCTTCTGAAAACATACAGTACACAGCTCAGATATAAGACAAGTCACCGTAGGCATTCCCAAGGGCAGTATACTACACATACAACCACATTTATTCCTTGATAAAATTTTATAATTAAAGAATCATTATTATATATGAGAATGCTCCCAAATGATGTTAATAACTATACATCTTTATATATA